TTTATATCTAGCGACAAACAGAACTTATTGTAAAAGGGCCATTTTTCTAAAGTCTACCATTTTTGCCACGATTTCCAGAACGCCTCAAAAACTGCTGCATGGTTTAGCTTTTCAGGCTTTCAAATGCAATGAATGAAATGTTTCAAAGCCGCTGGTCATCAAAATTTAATACGTTTTTTCAGCAGCTTCGAAGCTCTGTAAACTTTTTTTGTTAGATACCAAACAACATAAATCATTTTATTACAATTTTTTGCTTTCTAATATTATGATTGTTCATACACTTATGATTAAAATTATTTTGATGTGGCATTTCTGAAAACCTGGATTGATGAAAGTGTGTTTAAAAACTGTAAATTCGGAACCCAAGAACAAAGCCAAAAAGTCAGTGAAATTGATTTATTTGTAAGAAAATCCTTAAAATCTTATATATTAAATGAAAGAGCATAGTTTAGCATAAGGCCTAATGTTTCAAACGCTATCGAGCACCACGTTTGAAAAAAGCGGATATGAACGTGTAAGAATCATTCATTCAGAACCATCAAGTATTGGGAAAAAATCTAGGCTCTTGAAACAAAAGGAACTCGGTTCAGCTTCAAAGCTAGATAGTCCCTGTCCACTTTTTTCAACAATTTTGCTTTTGCAGATTTATTTAAGTCTGAAACAAGTCAACTAAAACAGCAACCTCAAAGCTTCAAAAAACTTACCTTTTCTAAAATGATTTGCGATATGAAAAAAAATTTAAAAAGTTTCAAAGTTTTGTTAGATGAATGATATTAATTTAAAAAAGCATTCGCCAATTGATTATCGTCATGAAAGATTTGAAATCTTTCGAAGATTCAGAACATGAATAACTTCCTTAAATATGTTTATTTTTCGCAAACGGATTCTGTCAAAAAAAATCGATTTACGAGATTGCTCAACTTGAAATTTTTCATTGCTTGAATAGCTTGAACAGAAGAACACATATTTTTTGTGAGCTGATTGATAGTTAAAACGGGCTTGCTAGTCTATATATTAAACAATTTGCATGTTTTTTGAACTTAAAAGGCACACTGGTTAAAAAATATACGTTGGACAATGTTTAAGAGGCGCTTAGGCAAAAGTTTTGTAGAAATTTCAAACATTCTTTATTCTAAAAAATGGAAATTTCTCGATTTATTTTTGAAATTATTCAGTTCTTTAAATATTATGAACTCAATTCAATTTCAAAGCTAGACACTAGGTCCAATTTTTGTCCAAAATTTTGCGGTTACAGTTTCATTTCAATCTGAAACAAACCAACTAAGAACAGCAACATCTTTACTTTATAAAAAACCAATTTTTGCGCATCAATTCCCTCTATAACTAGATTGAAACTTTTAAAAGTGTAATAGCTGGAATAGTTTGTTAAAAAAACACTTTCATTTTTTCGCGAAGCCATTCAGTTTATGAAATAATTCAAAAAATTCAGAAACGTGTAGCTGGAATAGCTTGCTTGGAAAAACTATTTTTTTGCTAATTGATTTGCCTTAAAAATAAATTGAAATTTTCAAAGACTTCTCTAACAACCTCTGATCGTAGATTTTTTTGTACTAAGTTGTTGAAAAATGATTTTTTTTGTAAACTGGTTCAATCTTTGAACTAATTCGAAATATTTCAAAGTTTTTTTTGGAAACTAAATCCACGCGATAAAAGCACTTTCGAAATAATTTAAAGCTTCATTGCTATACTGGCTGGCTGGCTTCAAACTTTTCAGCTGGCCTTTTTGAGAAACAATCCAAGCTTCGAAAAGAACTTCAAAAAGTTTTATAGTATATTCACTTCAATAGCTTTCTCTATGATAGACCAAGAAGTATTTTGAAAGTTTCATTGCTTCAATAGCTTGCGATGAAAACGTAATTTTTTGGCAAAACAATTTTTTTCATGAAACTTTTGAATAGCTTGCCTAAAAAATTTGACTTTTTCGTGAGCTTTATCTCTCGATGATACAATTGGAATTACTGCAAACACATGGCTCGTTTTGTCCAAATTTTGCTAACCGTTTCGCTCCATGAAACAACTTGGAACACTGCAAGATTTCAATAGGCCAATAGGTTGCTCGAAAAATATAAAGACTCAATGAACCGATTCGCTTGACAAAATGACTAAGAAATTTTCGATTTTTTTTGCTCAAATAGATTTTTTTGAATTAAATTTTCTCATTAATCTAGTTGCTCAATGAAATAACTTATTAAATTGCAATGCTTAATCACTTGATTGTCTTACATAGAAAACTTTACTGTTTTGCAAGGTGATTGAAAATTTTAAAATTTCACTGCTTGAGTAGCTTGCTTGGAAAAAATTCAAAATTTTTTGAAACGATTCGTTCTACAAAGTAATTTGAAAAACTTCAAGTTTTTTTTTTACCTGACTAGCTTGCTCTGAAATAGAAATTAACCTAAAGTTTTGCAAAAAAATTACCTAATTATCTTGCTTAGAAAAATTTTTCAAACAGGCTGATTCGCTTTATGAAAGCAACTCAAATAATTTAAGTCTCATCGCTTGAATTACTTGCTCAGAAAAACTTATTTTTCTTCCGAACCAATTCACCATATGCAACAACTTGGGGATATTTAAAGTTTTTTGCTTGAATAGATTGCGAGTTGATTGATCAGTGAAAACGGGCTTGCTAGTAGTCTTTAATTCGTATACCGTATCATTTGTGAATGGACAAAATCACATCGTTGACGCTGGTTTCAAACAATTTTTAAGCCAAAATGCAAAAAAAATGCGGGAATTAGTCAACTACGGCGCAAGTAAAACAACAAGGGCACTCTGTAATCAGATTTTGCGGACGCTATTTTGGGCTTGAAAGTTTGTTTTAAAAACAAATCAGGTATTTTTGACAATTTTGACCCAGGTAACAATTATAGAAAAATAATTCGAAGAAAACAACAGATACAATTATTATATCAGCATTCAGAAAAAAAATTTCATGCTAATTGTAGAAAGCGTCATTTATTTTTCAACCTTTACTCGGAGACCTATAGAGAAACGGTAAAATAATGCAAATTTCGGAGGTTCGCATTTCGATTACCCATCAGCTCAAAATATTATAAACATTCAGTTTTGTGTTGGGTTGGTCATTTGTAAAATTGAATTGAGCTTTTTCAGGTACCGAGTCACGGGAATTATTTCAATAAGCTTAAATTCCGTGAAACATTTGTGAACACGGAAAGCCAAAAATGGCCAGATTTGCGATTCATATATTTTTAAGGGTGTTTAAAAAATTTCTCGAGCTGACATTCCGTAAGTCTGATTTTGGAAGAGTCCAACGCTCTGTACAACTTTTAGTCATTAAGAGTCGGTGAAAAAAGTTTTGTAAGTATTTTAATTTAGTGTTATTTTTCCGACTTTCGAACAAAGTGAGAAAAAATTTGTGCTCGGGACGATTAGTTCTTCCAGAAAAATTTCGACTTTCAACTTTTTGCATCATTTGGAAGGTACTCTTGTGTTGAAAATTTAAAAATAATAATAATTACCTGTAATCATTTTTGGTAAAGTTATGGGGGTTTGAAGTTTGCCAGTTTGGGACAATTAACGCGCGATATATTTCCTGCTTTGACGCGTAAGCAAACATTTACTCCGAACAAAAATTGGTCTAAATTGAAATGGGGCATGCTCTCTGGTCTATTGAATACTTTGCTATATGCGAAAGATATCTTTTTGTACTTTACATAGCCCGTGAGGGATGATTTTTGAAGTTTTTTCTTTTTTTTTTAAAAACTCATCAGTCAATTTTTTAGAAGAAAAATCCACAGATAATAAAACGCAGTCAAAACTTTCGGGTTTTTGCCCTGATACGAGCCGTCTTTTGAAACGTTTTTATCTACACTTTTTTTGCTTAACATTTTTTTTTATTGGTCAAAATTCTCTAGAATTTGAACTTTTCTTGAAGCATGTGCAACTTATTTGCCATTATGAAACACATATTTGAGCACCATTACAAAGATTGATATTTGCTTTACACGTTTATGCTTACACAAAGCAAAATAGAACCTCATTTCTTAGTTGAAATTAGGGTTTAGGAAATTAGACGACCGACAAGCAAATTTTACGATCAGAAAATAAGGCAGATTAGACAATAACTTGGGTGCAAATTGCGTGAAACTTGTTTACAGACTTTAATTAACTTTTGATGGGGTAAAAATTGGCTGTCCAACCACAAATCATGTGATTTATTCCACAGTTGCATAATTTATTCATTTCAAAAATTGAGTTTGCTTTTTCGATTAATGTTTTATAATTAATTTAAGATAATAAAATTGAATAGTTCAGTTCTGTAATCATATACGCTTGTTGTTTTCATGCAACTTCATTCTAAACAAAAAAACTTGTGTGGTCCAGTTCTTATCGTCTAAATTCTAAAGTTATTGTGAAATTCCGTTTTTAACGGCTGTCTGATTTCCTAGACCCCATTGACATCACTTTTCCAAGTTCACTTTAACCTTTGCGGAGATGCACACTATTCAAGTATGCAAACTTGAGAGATCAAACGAACAATTTTACCCAAATCAAGTTTGGGGGGAGAAAAATGGATTTTTCATAAGCTAACTTTGATCATAGTCTAGATTCATTCAAAATTTACCGCATTACAAAAGAAAATGGAATTAAAACATTAGTTTGTGTAATTAGCAGCATACAAATGCAATTCCGCATGTAAACACAAAATTATTTACGCGTTTATTTACAGAAGATTATTTTTTTCAGACTTAATACATGCTTGGGGAGGGAACTCTACGTTAGGTCACTTAGATGAGGGGGGGGGGGATTTGGAATTGTATTGTACAGTTGATCCAACTTGAGTGAGCAAATGTTAAAATATAGGGAACAAGTCAACTTCCAACTTCATTTACTACATGGGCATGCTAATCGAAGCACATGTTAATGGGCTGGTCGCAGTATACCTGTGAAACTATGAAATTAGTTTGAAACTCTAAAGTTCTTTTTCATATGATCCATTCGGGACTGCTCTTTTCCAGCTGGCATGCGGCTTTGAACAGGTTGAAAGAGAGCCAAGAGTGAGTATATATAGATTATCTGGTTACGCATATGTGAACTCCGGTGAGAGTCATCTTCATTCCTTTCTAACTGTGTCTAATTTAGCCCGGTTGATGCTCTGAAGATATACTCTGATAATGTTACGATCATTATCTGTCTTCATCTATGTCTTCATTAAACCTGTTGCCTTTTATGTTCTAAATGTCACTTAATGTTTTGAACGTTTCAGTTTTACCATGTGGATAAAAAACTGTTTTTTTTTGTTTTGGTTGCTGCGCTGCTCTTTACTTCAAATTTATAATGAAAAGCAAACGAGGTCTCTATACAGATATGGTCAACCTTGTTACTCTTAACACGCACCGCACACCCTATTGGTTTATCGGATTCCTTTGCACTATCAAAGCGCTTAATTGAAATCACAAGTTAAGAAATTTTTATCAAAATATACATAAGAATTGTTTGGTAATTGGAACATGTTGGATCTCATTTTTGCTGATCTACTTCTGAAACTTTCAAATACTTGTAAATAGCATATTTTTAAGGAAGTTTTCGCTCTTAGATCTTTCTTTTTCTATGAGTTCAACAAGTGATTCAATGATAGTGTTTCAATTCAAACAACCATTACGAGGCCAAACTGTGCACTGGACAGGCGCACAATTTTGTGTCTGTATGTTCCTGGATTCCAGAGACAAGTCTTAGAACATGTTCCAAAATGTAAGTGGATTCCACTTACAAATTTATAGTGGATTCCGCGTACAAATACCTGTAACGTAAATTTTGTCGGCACATTGAATTTTTTGCGGATTCCGCTACGAGCAAATATATAAGCACATATATTATTATTTGTTCATGGATTCCAGAAACTTGTTCCGGATTCCACCCATTTTGTTGCGGATTCCTGTTGCGGATGCCTGTTTTTGGAGCAGTTTCGAGCAATACAGTGTTTTGTTGCGGATGCCTGTTTTTGGAGCAGTTTCGAGCAATACAGTGTTTTAGCTAATTGTCCGTGGAATCCAAAACAGCAGACAAGATCATTAAAAAAATAGCAATTTTGCGGAATCCGGGACAGATCTGATTTTTGCCTGTTATGGAATCCACTTACAATTCACAAAATGCACAGTTTGGCCTCTAATGACAAATTTAAACCAAACAAAAAATCTGAATTTGCTTTTTAACAACCTTCCGTGTTACTAGGGGGAAAGTTCGTAGAAAAACAAAAGTTATATCAAAGAAAGCTGCGATCGTTTATGGGCTATACTTTTCAAGACGTCCTTTTTTCTACATTGAAACTGGAAACTGACTCCAAACATCGATAGAATTTGTTGAATCTGGGGCTGAACAAACCACTTCGAGTCTGCTCGTTTTTCCTCGTGTCATGTTAAAACCGGCAAAATCAGTCATTTATGCTCGTGCAAAGTTGCTTCCTTTTCGGTCGAAACAAAAAATCGCAACTCTTCTATAAATATAAGCAAGTCTAAAGCAACTCTATGAAAATAGATCAGTTCGGATGTGTGCGTTTTGAACCAGAAAGAGGGACCACTGTTTCTGCATGTCTACAAAATTCCCAACCGCCACAACAACAAGTACCTGAAACTAAGTTGTAATCACCCAGAGTACAAGACAATCGAGCTGACGCTATTTGTAATTGCAAAGACATCAGGGAAATAAAAGTGTCCTCGCGACTTCTCTAGTAACTCGAGTTATCTCAGCGACTTTTATCGAGAAGAGGAGCTGCAAATCACCTTTGTCAAAAATGATCCTTGCAGCGTAGCTTTTGCTAAATAAACGCATCTATCAGTGAGTAAAAGAGAGAGTTTCTTTTGTCAACACATACCTCGACATTTTGACTTCTAGAGCTCCCACCTGGTCGTATGAGTTCATTGAAATAGCTGTGGCCTAGCTGGCATGATGACGTTTACCTCCACGCGAAAGAGATGTAATTGAGAAACTATGAGCAAATATTGCACTTCTGTGCCCTGTTTCTCTTGGCAGCACACATGTGTGAAGTACACTCTATGGAAAAATGAAGGACAACCAATCTTGACTAACTTATTGATGCAAACTGTTCATTATATTCCTAACTAGGTATTGAATTGTTTATTTTCTTTATAATTTAGAAATGCACAGATGATGACCAATCTAATTTAATAGATAAATATCACAACAATAAAATTCATGCGAAAAGGTCGGATTTAGGGGGGGGGCGTTCGCGGACGTTTTCTCTTCTCAGGGATTCGACTCCCTTCCGACCCAAAGGGTCCACCCTTTGTACTATTTTGAGAAATCCATATTTGGTGACGGACCCTAAAAATTTTCTAAAGGCGCCTTTGGCGCCAATACATACTAATTTTGAGGTGGGAGCGCGCGCCAAAAAAACGCAATTTTTTGGTCAAATTTTTCCAAATAGTGCCTAAAAACGCCTTTTTTTGTCCAGTTTTTCAAAATTTTGCCTGCAGCCTCAAAAACAGGGTCTTTTTATTGATTTGGAAGAGCTCGGAAAATCAATTTGGTCGACCTAAAAAAAAAGTCGACAAAAGTTTTGAAATTTTTTTGAACCCCCCCCCCCCCCTCAAGAAAATCCTAGATCCTCCCCTGCATGTGAAATAGAATTGAAAAATTTTGTTCTCTCTGGTCCACTGATCGAAAACCGAAGGTGTTATTCATTTTTAGACGACTAACCGAAATGATTATTTGTAACCAACGAAACTGTAGTCAGTTCAGTTGTGGCTCTTCAGTACCGTTCTGTTTTGTTTTATTGTGACAAATTTCAGTTTTGTGTTGGTAACATGGTCTTGATTTCTGATTTTGTAGATTCCGCTTAATTCTAACCGTCTCCCAACAATCGTCAGAGTAAGTGAATCATTGAAACAGTCAATTCAAACATAGAAGCTATCTGGTTTTTTCTCTCACCTAGTTAGTTGGCTTTAATCAACAAATTTATAGTGGATTCCGCGTACAAATACCTGTAACGTAAATTTTGTCGGCACATTGATTTTTTTGCGGATTCCGCTACGAGCAATTATATAAACACATATATTATTATTTGTTCATGGATTCCAGAAACTTGTTCCGGATTCCACCCATTTTGTTGCGGATTCCTGTTGCGGATGCCTGTTTTTGGAGCAGTTTCGAGCAATACAGTGTTTTGTTGCGGATGCCTGTTTTTGGAGCAGTTTCGAGCAATACAGTGTTTTAGCTAATTGTCCGTGGAATCCAAAACAGCAGAGAAGATCATTAAAAAAATAGCAATTTTGCGGAATCCGGGACAGATCTGATTTTTGCCTGTTATGGAATCCACTTACAATTCACAAAATGCACAGTTTGGCCTCTAATGACAAATTTAAACCAAACAAAAAATCTGAATTTGCTTTTTAACAACCTTCCGTGTTACTAGGGGGAAAGTTCGTAGAAAAACAAAAGTTATATCAAAGAAAGCTGCGATCGTTTATGGGCTATACTTTTCAAGACGTCCTTTTTTCTACATTGAAACTGGAAACTGACTCCAAACATCGATAGAATTTGTTGAATCTGGGGCTGAACAAACCACTTCGAGTCTGCTCGTTTTTCCTCGTGTCATGTTAAAGCCGGCAAAATCAGTCATTTATGCTCGTGCAAAGTTGCTTCCTTTTCGGTCGAAACAAAAAATCGCAACTCTTCTATAAATATAAGCAAGTCTAAAGCAACTCTATGAAAATAGATCAGTTCGGATGTGTGCGTTTTGAACCAGAAAGAGGGACCACTGTTTCTGCATGTCTACAAAATTCCCAACCGCCACAACAACAAGTACCTGAAACTAAGTTGTAATCGCCCAGAGTACAAGACAATCGAGCTGACGCTATTTGTAATTGCAAAGACATCAGGGAAATAAAAGTGTCCTCGCGACTTCTCTAGTAACTCGAGTTATCTCAGCGACTTTTATCGAGAAGAGGAGCTGCAAATCACCTTTGTCAAAAATGATCCTTGCAGCGTAGCTTTTGCTAAATAAACGCATCTATCAGTGAGTAAAAGAGAGAGTTTCTTTTGTCAACACATACCTCGACATTTTGACTTCTAGAGCTCCCACCTGGTCGTATGAGTTCATTGAAATAGCTGTGGCCTAGCTGGCATGATGACGTTTACCTCCACGCGAAAGAGATGTAATTGAGAAACTATGAGCAAATATTGCACTTCTGTGCCCTGTTTCTCTTGGCAGCACACATGTGTGAAGTACACTCTATGGAAAAATGAAGGACAACCAATCTTGACTAACTTATTGATGCAAACTGTTCATTATATTCCTAACTAGGTATTGAATTGTTTATTTTCTTTATAATTTAGAAATGCACAGATGATGACCAATCTAATTTAATAGATAAATATCACAACAATAAAATTCATGCGAAAAGGTCGGATTTAGGGGGGGGCGTTCGCGGACGTTTTCTCTTCTCAGGGATTCGACTCCCTTCCGACCCAAAGGGTCCACCCTTTGTACTATTTTGAGAAATCCATATTTGGTGACGGACCCTAAAAATTTTCTAAAGGCGCCTTTGGCGCCAATACATACTAATTTTGAGGTGGGAGCGCGCGCCAAAAAAACGCAATTTTTTGGTCAAATTTTTCCAAAAAGTGCCTAAAAACGCCTTTTTTTGTCCAGTTTTTCAAAATTTTGCCTGCAGCCTCAAAAACAGGGTCTTTTTATTGATTTGGAAGAGCTCGGAAAATCAATTTGGTCGACCTAAAAAAAAAGTCGACAAAAGTTTCGAAATTTTTTTGAACCCCCCCCCCCCCCCCCCCTCAAGAAAATCCTAGATCCTCCCCTGCATGTGAAATAGAATTGAATAATTTTGTTCTCTCTGGTCCACTGATCGAAAACCGAAGGTGTTATTCATTTTTAGACGACTAACCGAAATGATTATTTGTAACTAACGAAACTGTAGTCAGTTCAGTTGTGGCTCTTCAGTACCGTTCTGTTTTGTTTTATTGTGACAAATTTCAGTTTTGTGTTGGTAACATGGTCTTGATTTCTGATTTTGTAGATTCCGCTTAATTCTAACCGTCTCCCAACAATCGTCAGAGTAAGTGAATCATTGAAACAGTCAATTCAAACATAGAAGCTATCTGGTTTTTTCTCTCACCTAGTTAGTTGGCTTTAATCATTCACCGGCTTACTTTCTGTTTCCATGTTCCCTGTTTTATTTGCAGACATTTTTAGTTCCAGGTTCATTTTATTTGTTGCAATCCCTCCCGAGGAGAACAGTGGGTATTAACAACTAAACAACAAACACGGGGAGTTTCCCAAACATTTTCAGTCAATGCTTCTTAAATGATATATGATTTTATTCACAAATATTTTATTCAATTTTTCATGAAAAAAAATTAATAACGATTGCGATCAACATGCAGCTAAGAATTTTTATTTCCCTAATCATTTAATATATCTGAGCGTCTAGTCTAAAGTTTGAAGCCACTTTTTTAATCGCGAACTGTAAGAAGTGAATTTTACGCTAATCGAGCGCACCTCTGTCACCGAGAATTTTTTTTAATCAAAAACTTGATTGGCCTAGGAAAGACGAGAGCGGAGCTAAAGGCGGGAAACATATCAAGGCCCTGAAAATGCTCAGTTCGATCCTGGCCTGTTACGTCATCTGCTGGGCACCCTTCAGCTGTTTCGTTATGGTCATCGCCAAGTGTCCCACTTGCATTCCACTGTGGGCATACAACATCAGCTATGGCCTCTGCTACATCAACAGCACCATAAACCCCTTCTGCTACGCATATGCGAACATAGACTTCAGAAGGGTAGTGGTCCAACTCATTAGAAGGGTCGTTTGCTGTGAGAAACACAACCCTAACAGCTCCTCAAGATTGATCCGATGAGAAAATATTCTCTTTATACAACTCAAATAAGATTACCGTTCAATCATTGTGTCATACATTTCGATGCTCAACATTCGTACCATAATTTATCACAAATAACAAAATTGAACAATTCCTGGAAAAGTTGTCATCTACATCATTATAACATCTCTAACGGAATTTGTAAACTTTTTTTTCTAGAACTTCCTGTAATTTTTTAATAAATGTTGTTTAGAATTGCCTAAAAATGTATTCCAAATTCACCAGTAGATGTAAATTTTTTTGTTCCGAATTGTATTTTTGCGCCATATTTAATTTTAAAAATTTGAATGTTATTGAAGGAATTGCATCAGCATCAGTAGCGGCTCTTACTTCTCTCGCTCGTTTTGTTATTTATGCTCGTTTCTCGGAGTAGCCATGAAGTTTTTCTAGAGACGCAGTGGTCGCGGAAAGATGTTAACTTCTAAGAGGTAAGTGCGCGCTGAAAAGTTCGTGAACCATATTCGGACCAATTATTCCAAGAAAGATTTAGATATAATTGTCATTCAAAAAATGGCAAAAACTTGGCTAAAAATGGCAAAAAGTGATGAAAAATTTTTTTCGGAAAAGTTCGGGAAACTGGACTATTCTTCAAAATATACGCATCGTTAGTTATGTTCAACACTGCGGCCTGCTGAAGACTACCACAATCATCATAATTATCGTCTTTAAATTGTTCTGTCTGATTTATCATCCTCGCTAAAAAAACAAAAAAAACCTATGTTTCGTGCTTGACCTATGTTTCGACATTAAAAATCGAGCAAATGCGACTGAAATTCCGCGGTCAAGAAGCAATTTTAAATCGACTAAAAGTCAAAACAAACCCGATTTTGATCGAGAAAGACCGAGATAGGTCAATTTAGTCGAAACATGCCCATTTTTGGTCGAGAAAGTCCAAACATAGTTCGAGCAGAAAGTCGAAACAACCAATTTTGGTCAAAAAAAGTCGAAACATAAGGTCGAGAAAGTCAAAAAGTACAAACTTTCGGTATAGAAAGTCGAAGCCATAGATCAAGCACAAAGTCGTAACATACTCGAATTTGGTCGAGAAAGTCGCAACATAGGTCTAAATCAGTCGAAAAATGGGTCGAGCACAATCAGAACATACGTCGAGAACAGTCGAACAAACAAAATTTTTGAAATCTTGCTCGAGAAAGTCGAGAAAGCCAAAACATATCGATTTTGGATCGAGAAAATAGAAGCGTATCTTTGTGGGGTCGACCAAACAAACTTTCAATTTTTGAAAATTTGTCGGTCGAGAATGTCGCAAAAAATGAAAAATATCAATTTTGTTGTCGAGAAAGTCAAAACATATGGATGCCGGGTCGAACAAACAAAAGTCGCTCGATTATGTCGAAACATGTCGATTTTTGATCAAGAAACCAGAAAGATATCTGAACTGGGTCGAACCAAGTCGAAAATTTTTTTTGTTGGTTCGAGAAAGTCGAAAGTAACCAAAACTGGCTGAAGAAGTCGAAACATAGATCAAGCACAGAGCTTAAACATTTCCGATTTTGGTCGGGAAAGTCGAAACATAGGTCGAGAAAGTCGAAACATAGGTCGAGAATGTCGAAACATAGATCAAGCACACAGTCGAAACATACCCGAATTGATCGAGAAAGTCAAAACATAGGTCGAGAAAGTCGGAAGGTGTGCTATTCCCCCGGACTGGCACAGTCGAACCTTCCGACGAACGCCAAAAACAAGGTTAAAGGCGGTTTTACCGAGATTGAAGTAAAAAGGAGGCTCAGAAATACTAGAATTTCAAATTTTCAAAATTTCGATTTGGATTGGAACACTTTCTGAGAAATACAAAAATTGGCCTTTTTGAACAAAAATATAAGAAAAAAAACAGAACAGCTGGATTACAAGACGAAATTTAGACGGAAATAGAGAGAAAAACAGATAATAACCTGTTTGTGACATCAGGGCACAATAAGGTGCTTGTCAGAAGACAATTTTGGAAGCCAAAGGTCCAGTGGTACCTTCGGGACGAATCCGAACCCTCCCGTGCAACGAAATTAGAGAGATAACGACGTTATCTCCGGAAGAGTACGGAATTAGGGCTCCCTTTCCCAGAGACTGTTGAAAGACATTATTGATAAATTTAAGCTGCTGTAATGCCCTGAACGCATTTAATTCATTTCTAAATAATCTTGTATTTCAGAGCATGAGCAGTTAGAGTCGAGGTAAGAGTCAATCCATCTCTGATGGATTTATAAGTATAACTGTCAGTAAACGCAACAATCGTCAGAGTAAGTGAATCATTGAAACAGTCAATTCAAACATAGAAGCTATCTGGTTTTTTCTCTCACCTAGTTAGTTGGCTTTAATCATTCACCGGCTTACTTTCTGTTTCCATGTTCCCTGTTTTATTTGCAGAGAATTTTAGTTCCCGTTTCATTTTATTTGTTGCAATCCCTCCCGAGGAGAACAGTGGGTATTAACAACTAAACAACAAACACGGGGAGTTTCCCAAACATTTTCAGTCAATGCTTAGGTGATATATGTTTTATTCACAAATTTTTTATTCAAGTTTTCATGGAAAAAAAACAGTTGCTATCAACATGCAGCTAAGAATTTTTTATTTCTCTAATCATTTAATATATCTGAGCGTCTAGTATAAACTTTGAAGCCACTTTTTTAATCGTGAACTGTAAAAAGTGAATTTTCTGCTAATCGAATGCACCTCCCAATGCTAATCGAGCGCACTTCTGTCAGCGAGAAATTTTTTTAATCAGAAACTTGATTTGCCTAGGAAAGACGAGAGCGGAGCTAAAGGCGGGAAACATATCAAGGCCCTGAAGATGCTCAGTTCGATCCTGGCCTGTTACGTCATCTGCTGGGCACCCTTCAGCTGTTTCGTTATGGTCATCGCCAAGTGTCCCACTTGCATTCCACTGTGGGCATACAACATCAGCTATGGCCTCTGCTACATCAACAGCACCATAAACCCCTTCTGCTACGCATATGCGAACATAGACTTCAGAAGGGTAGTGGTCCAACTCATTAGAAGGGTCGTTTGCTGTGAGAAACACAACCCTAATAGCTCCTCAAGATTGATCCGATGAGAAAATATTCTCTTTATACAACTCAAATAAGATTACCGTTCAATCATTGTGTCATACATTTCGATGCTCAACATTCGTACCATAATTTTTCACAAATAACAAAATTGAACAATTCCTAGAAAAGTTGTCATCTACATCATTATAACATCTCTAACGGAATTTGTAAACTTTTTTTTCTAGAACTTCCTGTAATTTTTTAATAAATGTTGTTTAGAATTGCCTAAAAATGTATTCCAAATTCACCAGTAGATGTAAATTTTTTTTGTTCCGAATTGTATTTTTGTGCCATATTTAATTTTAAAAATTTGAATGTTATTGAAGGAATTGCATCAGCATCAGTACCGGCTCTTACTTCTCTCGCTCGTTTTGTTATTTATGCTCGTTTCTCGGAGTAGCCATGAAGTTTTTCTAGAGACGCAGTGGTCGCGGAAAGATGTTAACTTCTAAGAGGTAAGAGCGCGCTGAAAAGTTCGTGAAATTGAGATGTAATTGAGAGACTATGAGCAAATATTGCACTTCTGTGCCCTGTTTCTCTTGGCAGCACACATGTGTGAAGTACACTCTATGGAAAAATGAAGGACAACCAATCTTGACTAACTTATTGATGCAAACTGTTCATTATATTCCTAACTAGGTATTGAATTGTTTATTTTCTTTATAATTTAGAAATGCACAGATGATGACCAATCTAATTTAATAGATAAATATCACAACAATAAAATTCATGCGAAAAGGTCGGATTTAGGGGGGGGGGGGGCGTTCGCGGACGTTTTCTCTTCTCAGGTATTCGACTCCCTTCCGACCCAAAGGGTCCACCCTTTGTACTATTTTGAGAAATCCATATTTGGTGACGGACCCTAAAAATTTTCTAAAGGCGCCTTTGGCGCCAATATATACTAATTTTGAGGTGGGAGCGCGCGCCAAAAAAACGCAATTTTTTGGTCAAATTTTTCCAAAAAGTGCCTAAAAACGCCTTTTTTTGTCCAGTTTTTCAAAATTTTGCCTGCAGCCTCAAAAACAGGGTCTTTTTATTGATTTGGAAGAGCTCGGAAAATCAATTTGGTCGACCTAAAAAAAAAGTCGACAAAAGTTTCGAAATTTTTTTGAACCCCCCCCCCCCCCCCCCTCAAGAAAATCCTAGATCCTCCCCTGCATGTGAAATAGAATTGAAAAATTTTGTTCTCCCTGGTCCACTGATCGAAAACCGAAGGTGTTATTCATTTTTAGACGACTAACCAAAATGATTATTTGTAACTAACGAAACTGTAGTCAGTTCAGTTGTGGCTCTTCAGTACCGTTCTGTTTTGTTCTATTGTGACAAATTTTTAGTTTTGTGTTGGTAACATGGTCTTGATTTCTGATTTTGTAGATTCCGCTTAATTCTAATCGTCTCCCAACAATCGTCAGAGTAAGTGAATCATTGAAACAGTCAATTCAAACATAGAAGCTATCTGGTTTTTTCTCTCACCTAGTTAGTTGGCTTTAATCATTCACCGGCTTACTTTCTGTTTCCATGTTCCCTGTTTTATTTGCAGACATTTTTAGTTCCAGGTTCATTTTATTTGTTGCAATCCCTCCCGAGGAGAACAGTGGGTATTAACAACTAAACAACAAACACGGGGAGTTTCCCAAACATTTTCAGTCAATGCTTCTTAAGTGATATATGATTTTATTCACAAATATTTTATTCAATTTTTCATGAAAAAAAAATAATAACGATTGCGATCAACATGCAGCTAAGAATTTTTATTTCCCTAATCATTTAATATATCTGAGCGTCTAGTCTAAAGTTTGAAGCCACTTTTTTAATCGCGAACTGTAAGAAGTGAATTTTACGCTAATCGAGCGCACCTCTGTCACCGAGAATTTTTTTTAATCAAAAACTTGATTGGCCTAGGAAAGACGAGAGCGGAGCTAAAGGCGGGAAACATATCAAGGCCCTGAAGATGCTCAGTTTGATCCTGGCCTGTTTCGTCATCTGCTGGGCACCCTTCAGCTGTTTCGTTATGGTCATCGCCAAGTGTCCCACTTGCATTCCACTGTGGACATACAACATCAGCTATGGCCTCTGCTACATCAACAGCACCATAAACCCCTTCTGTTCGCATATGCGAACATAGACTTCAGAAGGGTAGTGGTCCAACTCATTAGAAGGGTCGTTTGCTGTGAGAAACACAACCCTAACAGCTCCTCAAGATTGATCCGATGAGAAAATATTCTCTTTATACAACTCAAATAAGATTACCGTTCAATCATTGTGTCATACATTTCGATGCTCAACATTCGTACCATAATTTATCACAAATAACAAAATTGGACAGTTCCTGGAACAGTTGTCATCTACATCATTATAACAACTCTAACGGAATTTGTAAGTTTTTTTCTAGAACTTCCTGTAATTTTCTATTAAATTTTGTTTAGATTTGCCTAAAAATGTATTCCAAATTCACCGGTAGATGTAAATTTTTTTTTGTTCCGAAATGTGTTTTGCGCCATATTTAATTTTAAAAATTTGAATGTTTTTGAAGAAAAGGCATCAACATCATTACCGGCTCTTAATTCTCTCGCTCGTTTTGTTATTTATTTTTTCGTTCCGAATTGGGAAAGTCGAAAAATAGGTCGAGCACAATCAAAACATAAGTCGAGAACAGTAGAATAAACAAAATTTTAAAAATGTTGCTCGAGAAAGTCGAGAAAGCCTAAAAATGTCGATTTTGGATCGAGAAAAAGAAGCGCATCTTTGTGGGGTTGACCAAACAAACTTTCAGTTTTTGAAAAATTGTCGGTCGAGAGAGTCGCAAAACATGAAAAAAATCAATTTTTTATCGAGAAAGTCGAAACATATGGATGCGGGGTCGAACAAACAAAAGTCGCTCGATAATGTCGAAATATGTCAATTTTTTTATCAAGAAACCAGAAAGATATCTGAACTGGGTCGAACCAAGTCGAAAAACTCTTTTGTTGGTTCGAGAAAGTCGAAAGTTACCAAAATTGGCTGAAGAAGTCGAAACATAGATCAAGCTCAGAGCTAAAAGATTTCCGTTTTCGGTCGGAAAAGTCAAAACATAGGTCGAGAAAGTCGAAACATAGGTCGAGAATGTCGAAACATAGATCAAGCACACAATCAAAACATACCCGAATTGATCGAGAAAGTTAAAACATAGGTCGAGAAAGATCGGAACGTGTGCCATTCCGGAATCAGGGGCCCGGTTCCCAGAGACTGTTGAAAGACATTTTTGATATGTTTTAGCTGCTGTAATGCCCTGAACGCATTCAATTCATTTCAAAATAATTTAGTATTTCAGAGAATGAGCAGTTAGAGTCGAGGTAAAAGTCAATCTATCTCTGGTGGATTTGTTAAAAAAAACAATTTTAATTGTGGGATCCGAGACCAAGCTATGTGATTATTTTTGAATGTAAGTGAAACTCGTTTGGCTGATGGCCTAAAAACCAGAAAAGAAACTGGCTACCTCAGCGCGGTTAGAAACGAGTAGGATTAAGATAATTGACATCAGCCAGTCGTCAATAGGTACTTTTTCTACGCTCCGGCACTGTGTAATGTCTGGGCGATTGTTACATAGACGTGTTGAAGGCTATAGACCAAAATGATCGGCAAACATTTCAGCGACGAACCATCCGCTCCGAGCGCATGCCCGAGTTAGAGGCCTTATTATCCTGCATTGTACTAAGCGGAAGGTTCAGAAACTCCGTTTAGTACAATTTAGCTTTTCAACTTAGTTGAGACATTCCGGGGTTCGGTGATTCAGGTGAGAAGTCTAGAGCCCCTTATCCCAAGGCTCTGGGACTAATAACAATTAAAAAGAAAGCATAAAACCAAACAAAATTAGTGAATAACCAGGAAAAAGCCAAAAACAAACTTACTTTAAAACGAAAAAGTGCAAGAAACAGTAAAAAAAACACCATAAACAGTGAAAAACATAAAATGACAGTTTATGTAATTTTTGCTGACAATATGTGATTTGGTTTTCTTGTTTGTTGCTATTTCAGATTGATTTATATCATTTCTGATCGAAAGATCAAGCGTATTGTTTGATGGTTAGGTACCCTCTCTTGAGTGTTGTTAGAGTATTTAAGCACTTTATTGATAATTTTGCCGGTGGCTGGAGAGTAGTGTGGCAAGCCGACAGACGTGTTCCAGACGCAGCAGGGGACAACAGAGACAACATCCATAGCGACTGCTGGGTATCGTTAGCACATCTTTAATATCGTTTGGGTACTACTTCAATAAACCTAGTTGGTGGGGTACACAATTGGATCGGTTCAATTTTACCCTCCATCGATAGCAAATTTCTCGATTAACGGTCTTGAGTCGGGTATCTTGGTATAAAGAAGTGTGTGTTTATATCAGTTAAGGACAACTTATAGGTTATTACCCCGTATTATGTACTACCTATATCCCATTTAGACCCAAAGACACTATGAGTCTGTCAAAATTTATCGATTTTCGACCAAAGTATTAACCCCAAGTTTTTGGATATCCGACTTTTTTTGAACAGTATAAAGCTTCTGCGTAGTGAGCTACCAAATTTGAACAAAAGAAACCGCGCGGAGAAAGATTCATTAGAAATTGGCGGAAAAAAAGTTTTTCGGTCAAGTTTTTTCATAATTTTTTGAATTTCGTCAATATATTTTGAGGTTTCAAAATTTGATTTTTTAGAGGAAAAGCGGTAAAATGAAATTTTTTGCGCTTAGGGTTTGCTAGCCTAATAAGCTTATTTACAGGACGAGTTCTTAAGTAACCCTCCGAGTAGCTCCGTGGATAAAGATAAAGATAAGGATTTAAACATCGGAAAAGGAAGGAATGTGAGGGTTCAAATCCAATAGTTTTGACCAAAACTTTTTGGTCTGGTTTCTTGCATTATTCTAGTACAGTACGCTGCTGCAAGCGTTTTGAGTTTGTTTCAGCGCTTTCAGCAAGATTTGCATAAAAAGTCTCTGAGAATCTAAATAGGTGAGGAAAAAAGACCACTTTAGCAAACGCGCTTT